CTGTGGTTCCTCTTATTGATGACAGTGCTTTCAGACTTTTCCACTCTCCTTGAATTTCTGATCCGACTGTCTTTTCCTTCACCGGTAAGACCAGTTTGTCTTAACTTACATGGAAAAAGCAGTCTATCAATTGGAAATTCCTTCATTATCCCATAAATAAAGAACATTACCTCTCTTCCCCTGTTCTGCCTATAATTACACTAAATAATCCTTCTAAGAATAATTATTTTATAACTTTCGACTGATCTTATCCAATTGTGCTTTTTAGAGACCTTGGTAGATGAGTACTTTCTTCTCTCTTTTTCTAATCTTTCTCTGTTAGTTTCTTTCTGTTATCCCTTAAGGCCTTCAAGTGTACCTCGGCTTCTCGTCTTCCTTTAGATCTTTCTTCAGTATTACCGTAATTGAATATTTTTGGAATACTATTTTATCTCTTGACTTTTTAGCACTTTTTTTTTTAGTTTGCAGTATGCTCTTAACTAAAATATGCCTTTAACTAGAGTTTTTAACTAGTTACAGTATGCCTTTAGAGTTTGCAATATGCCTTTAACTAAAAGTGTATTGTGAAAATTATACCACTTCACATAAAATATAATAATTTCGTCCTTGAGACCAGGCACGGTGGCTCATGCCTGTAATCCCAGCACTTTGGGAGGCTGAGGTGGGCGGATCACAAGGTCAGGAGTTCGAGACCAGCCTGACCAACATGGTGAAACCCCATCTCTAATAAAATATAAAAATTAGCTGGGCATGGTGGCATGCACCTGTCATCCCAGCTACTCAGGAGGCTGAGACCAGAGAATCACTTGAACCCGGGAGGCACAGATTGCAGTGAGCCAAGATCTTGCTGCTGTAATCCAGCCTAGGTGACAGAACGAGGCTCCATCATTTAAAAAAAAAAAAAAAAAAAAGAATTTTGTCCTTGAATAGACCTATTTCCCCCACTCATGCTTTGTACTATACAGTCCCCTTGAACAATACAGGGGTCAAGGGTGCCAATCCCCCATGAAGTCAAAAATCTGTGTGTAAACTTTTAACTGCCCCCAAATTTAACTGTTAATAGCCTGCTGTTCACTGGAAACCTTGCTGATAACCTAAACAGTTGATTAACACATATTTTGGATGTCATATGTATTATATACTGTATCCTTACAATAAAGTAAGCTAGAAAAAAGAAAATATTATTAAGAAAATCATACTGAACAGAAAATACACTTATAGTACAGTACTGAATTTATTGATGGCACAAGTTGACATCACCTGTTTACAAGGTGCACTGTCTGTCTGAAATGGTGGGCAGCCATGGCTGCAGACTTTAATCCACCACACATGCTGAGCAACTCAGCCTTTTCTTGTAATGTCATGACTTTTGTCTACTTTTGAGAACATTTCCATCCAGCATCACTAGAGGCACTTCTTATGGGTCCTGTGGTGTTATTCAAGGTTCACACCGTGGTATTATGCTAAACACGATGGAAAATATGTGAGCGCCATGAGCGAGCACTCGGTACTGTGATGCATAGGGTCCTGGATTGGAGACGGCTCACACAGATGCACGGGGTCCTGGAGCGGAGACAGCTCACACAGATGCACGGGGTCGTGGAGCGGAGACGGCTCACACAGATGCACGGGGTCCTGGAGCGGAGACGGCTCACACAGATGCTCGGGGTCCTGGAGCGGAGACGGCTCACACAGAGGCACGGGGTCGTGGACCGGAGACGGCTCACACAGATGCACGGGGTCCTGGAGCGGAGACGGCTCACGCAGAGGTCAATGGTGCCGCACCGCATTTCCAGCGGACCCTCGCACTCACTCCCCGCAGCAACAGCAGGAGGGGCTGCGACACGTTTCCGGGAGCACAGTGTGTACTGCACTTAGTTCTGTGCAGTTAGGGTTTGATACTGCATCTCCAGGATCAATTTGCAAGTCACTCAGCTGCAGATGTTGTCATGACCTGTGTGTTTAGGTTTTATTTTACTTTTAACTTTTTGTAATAGATTTGTGTGTATTTTATAGTAGTAAGTGATACAATAGACTACGTCTACATACATTTTATGTTCTCGTGTTATACCTAACTTTAAACATTTAAAAAATATTTCTAGGCTATGTGATGTATCTTCAAGGTTTTTCAGATTATCAACAAATCTCCAAAAGTTTTCTAATAGATTTATTGAAAAAATTTCTTGTATAAGTGGACCTGCACAGTTCCAACCCATGTTGTTCAAGAGCTCACTGTACTTTGTAATATGTACTATATCTACAAATATTATAAACTGTTCCAGCCCATTTTATTTATATACATACACACACCCCCACACCCATATAGTTTTTTGGCACAGAGTCTTGCTCTGTCACCCAGGCTGGAGTGCAGGTGGTACGATCTCGGCTCACTGCAACCTCTGCCTCCCGGGTTCAACCAGTTCTCCTGCTTTAGCCTGGTGAGTAGCTGGGACTACAGACATGCAGCAGCATGTGTGGTTAATTTTTGTAGTTTTAGTGGAGACGGGGTTTCTCCATGAGGGCCAGGCTAGTCTCAAACTCCTGGCCTCATGTGATCTGCCTGCCTCGGCCTCCCAAAGTGGTGGGATTACAGGCGTGAGCCACCGGGCCTGGCCCATTTTATTTATAGTTTAAGGGAATTAAGATTAAAAATTGGATTTGGGTTTTTTTGTTGTTGTTTTGTTAAATATTTACTTAGATATTTACCACTTTTGTTCCTTACCATTCCTTCTTGACGATATGAGTTTCTGCCTGATATTGTTTCTTTTCAGCCTAAAGGACCTCTGCTGATATTCCTCTAGTGGATGTCTGCTGGAATGGAGTTCTCATTTTATTTATCTGACATTGTCTTTATTTCACCTGTATTCTTAAAGAATATTCTTGCTGGATATTGAATTCTTGCTTGACAAGTCTGCCTCCACACCCTCCACCCCTCACTTTAAATATTTTGTTCCATTGTCTTCCGACTCCATTATTTATGAGAAATCAGTGGTATTTTGATAGTTCTTCTCTTGTGTGTAATGTTATTTTTCTCTAGGTATTTTTGACTTTTTTTTTTTTTTTTAGCAATTTGACTTTTATTTCTAAATTTTATTTGTCTTTTTAGGGGTTTTCTGGGCTTCCTGAATCTGTACATTTCTGGCTGACAATAAATTTGGCATATTTTTAGTCATTGTTTCTTCAAGTAGTTTTTGTTTTTTCATTCTCTGTCTGTCCACTCATTCTGAACCCCAGTTACATGCATGTTAGACTCCGTGATATTCCCTTCATGGTTCTATGACTGTATTCATGTTCAAAATAATTTTTTCCTATGTCCTTTGGAATCATTATCTCTTGACCCACGTTCAGATTCACCATCGTCTGTAATCTGTTAATCCCATCTGAAGAATTTATTGCAGACATTGCATTTTTTCAGTTTTGGAATTTCTGTGTGCTTCTTCGTTCTTAAATACACTTTCTCTTTCTTTGTTGTGATTTCCTCCTTGTTTACTCGTTAGGAGCATGCTTTTCTTTCAGATGTGCTAAAGCTGCTTTGAAATTCTCCCTTCTTAATTCTGATGTTTGGTCATCTCAGGGCTAGTCTTCACTGATTATGTGCTTTCTTGGGTATGGACCTTGCGTTTTTGTTTCTTCATATGTTTAGAAATTTGGATCAACTCTTCATTGTTTAAAATGGTTCATTGTAGAGAGGCAGGATTCAGGGTTCTGTTATGTTCTCCTGAAAGTACTGGTTTTTTGTTTGGTTCTGTTTTAACTGGTAGCTAACTTGACTGAAGTCAAACTGTAGACTCTACCTTTCTGGCATTAGGGAGCTGCTGTGGTGGTCTCGGTTCCATTCTTTTAGTGGATATAGGTTAGGGCATGACAGGTTAGGTGTCAGAACGAGATCATACACACATTCGGCCCCTTCTGAGGCACTCTCCTTTCTGAGCTTCCATTTCTTTCTCACCTTGCAGCTGCTGTGGCCACCCTGATCTCTCACCTCTGCTTCTTCATGTCTGGGAGTCTGGGAGTTTTCTGTTCGAGTTTGAGCAGCCGTGACAGGACTTTATACACTCACATGTACAGAATGGAAATCAGAATTGTAGAAATGGCAAACTCTGTGTCTTAAAGGGTCATGGCGGGGCGGGTCACAAGACCACCCAAAATGAGATGGTTTGTTAGGAGGACTCCCCAGGACTCAGCATATGATCCTCCTCCTGGCTGTGATTTACGACAGCAAAAGCATAGAGCACAGGCAGCAGCAAGAAGAGGCACTGGGGTGGCTTCCAGCGGAGACCAGGCTCAGCCTCGCCTCCGGAGACTTTCTGATTTAACCTTCATGTGTGTCAGTGAATGAAACAACCTCAAGCCTATGTCTTTTCTGCTCCAAAATTAATGGTATGAAAGTAGCTATGATGTGTGTTTTGTGAAAGCTTTCCCATGTGATTGTATAAGTATGCATCATGAGCACGTGGTTCAGACACATGGAATAAGCACATCCTCATGGCTGTAAGGAAGGCCACGCTTAGCTTATAGTGATCAGTGCCTGCTTGTGGCTGTAAGGAAGGGCATGCTTAGCTTATAGTGATCAGTGCCTGCTTGAATGAAAACATGTAAACAGATCTAGGAATTTATTAAACTGTTTTATAAAACTTATGAGGAATTGTGATAGTTCCTTAATTCCCCCTGAACACTTTGAGGTGACTTCAAGATATTCCTAAACAGGCTCCACCTCTACCATTGGAGCCCCCCGGCAGGCCCTGGGGCTGCCTGTTGTGAGTGTCTCCTGCATGATTTTGATTCACACCTGCTGTTCAAAGGCACACCCTGTCAAGCTTAAAAATGGTTTTTGTCTTTATCTGACATTGTAATTTATAGTGTTGACACAAAAATCTAAGAAAATCAATGATCGCTTTTTGTAAATAATATATGAAAAATATTAATTAGCAAATGAGAAATTTCCAAGTAATTTTACTAAATTATAACATTATAATCAATTCAAATGTTCTGTATTCCAGGACCTTTTTTCTATCAATGCTTATGTTTATGCTCAGAAACCACAAATGGACATTCACAGTTTTGAAGGCACATTTACCAGGGTAAGTTAAACCTGTTGTTCAGTACAAATAGAGTTACTGTGTAAGTTAAAAGTAGCAAACCTTTATTTTGAGACAGTTCAGTCAAGAATAAATTCAAATAGAAGTTTCAAACTAGGAAGGGAAAACCTATATAATGTTTGAAGTTCTTAAGTGTACCCATATTTAATATGTCTTTGGGATACATTTAGTACAGTTTTTGGAATTTTTTTAGCATAGTTACTAATAAGATCTTTATCTCCTAAAATATTGTGAATCAGTTAAATGAATTAATTTATTTTCATTTTGACTGAATAGTTGGTATACCATAATATCCACATCATGTCTAGCTTTTTACTGTCTGAGTTGGGTGGGTGTTTGTATGTATGTCTGTGAGTCTGTATGTGCATGTTATGTTTCTTTATACACATGTGTATATTTCATGCCACACACTTTATATTATTATAGAATTTTGTTAAAGCTGGAAGAACTTTGCCCCTGACTAATAGGGCTTGAGAGACTCAGTAACTCTTTATTTTAACAGCTTATAGCTGATATTATAAATGCTTTATAGTAAGGGATTTTAGTACATGACTATAGGTTATTTGTAATTGCTGCAGTTATTTTAAAAATACTTTTGTAGGTGAATTCATCTTTTATTTCACTCTTGGTCGCATGCAGTTATTGGCAAGCAGTTGTCATCACTTGAAAAAGCATTTTCAGAGCTTATATAATGCAACAGTTAGTGAGCAAACTCTGGGAATGTGAAGTGCGGGCACTGTGAGGTCATTACAGTCCTGTGGTGCTCTGGGCCTTTTGCAGCTGCCTATTTCCATAGGTGCTGCATACAAGCATGCATAAGATGTTCATGGAGGGACAGAGGAGGAAGCATGTCCTGGTGATAAGTATCATGCAATGAATTCTGAAATAAACTCATATCTTTTTTTTTTTTTTTTTTAACAAAAGTAGTTGTGAAAACAGTGTGTTCTTATTAAAGACAACATATGAGAATAAATGTTACAAAAAGGTACCCTTAGTATGATAAATGAAAAGTTATTTATGTAACCACTATTAAGAATTTGAAGTATTATTTGCTTTCTTCCTTTCCTTTTCTTACTCTTTTCTCTAATTTATATTGCTCATGACTTTGAAAAGTTGGAAATGTTTGCTAGACAACGTGTGGAAGTACAAGGAAGTCAGAGAGCAAGTGCGGGTTGGCTGAAAAACCTGGTTCAAAGGGAAGCATATGGCTCAGTATGCAGGTGTGACAAGGGCTGGGTCGTATAGGACTAGAAAGATATCCAGGCTTGACCGGAAGAAGCCTTTGAAGGATCTTCAGCTTAGAAGAGAAATGATAAATATATTTTTAAAAGATTCATTCATAAGTTCTGATTCCCTTAGGATAATGGTGGCCACTTAATTTTGTTACATACCACATAGCCTTCCAAAATCATACAGGCTAACAATGAGAGTAGAGAGTGTAATCTGTAGCTCATATTTAGCAGAAATGTGAGACAGAAAATACTGTGAACTTCAATTTACTGTAAGTGGGGAAAATATCCAGAATAACACAGTTAGCTCCAGAGCCAGGATGGTGCAGCAGAAGGAGATTGTCTTGGGATGCTGATATCATGTAGGTTTTGCATTCAGAAGAAAAAGGATTCCTAAGTAGGATAATGCATCCTGTGAATGAATTGGGTAAGCAAAGCGATGGGACATTGAAGGGACTTGTGGAGAAGTACAGATTGGAAGTGACCTTGGGGGAATGTACAGGGGCAAGGGGCACTGGTAAAGAGTTGGTGGCTCTCAGAGGCTTAATTAGGAAGAAAAAGACAAAGTTGACCTTTCTGAAACATGATAATAGCAATCAGAGGAGTCAGTCCACACCACCCCAAAAGGATGCTTTTCACTGAAGACATTGAACTTCATTGTGCCTGTAGAAGAAGGCACTCTTGGATTAAGAAACAAATTCCACCTCCCATCCTTGGAATAGGATTTCCTATTTGTACAGATTCAAGAAAAACAGCTCTTATTATTATGAATAGAGGAAGGAACCCATTTTGCTGTCTCACCCAGGCTAGAGTGCAGTGGTGTGATCATAACTCGTTGCAGCCTCAAACTCCTAGGCTCACGCAGTCCTCCTGCCTCAGCCTCCTGAAGTGTTGGGATTATAGACACGAGAGCCATAGTGCCTGGGCAAATATAGTTATCAACAGAAGAAAACAGATCAGTGAGAAGCACATTTTCAATTGATAAAAAATTTCTAAAAACAGGGAAAGGAAAAACCTCAATGCAAAGTAATTCTATAACAATGCAACAAGCCTGATTTAAATATAACTAACCAAACGATGGTACTTAGGAAAGAACACCGTAAATCAGACATTTAAAAACACAAGAATCAAAATGGAATAAATTTCTCAAGAATGTAAGAATAAAAACTTAAGAATAAAACAGGACAATGTGAATGAGAAGGCTAACTGAACTCAGGAGAACACTGAACGTGAGCATCTGAGAAGGGAGGACTGAATCACAGCATGCCTGTGGGGGATGCACAGTAAGAGATAGGGAGGTTGTAAAGAAAAGAGTCGAGGAAACGAGATGATTAAAGAGGTGAAAAGGACTAGAGGTTGATAGATGTGGAAGAACGGCAAGAAGGACCCGACATGAGAGTCTTGAAACAAAATCATGAAGCGATTTGAAACATTGACAGCTCAAGTATGTGTTACTAAATACAAGGATGTCTGAGGTACACACTGAAAGGGCCCAGCATGCACGTGAGAAAACTTCAAGACATGTAGCTGCTTGTCATATTTTACATCTACAGGGAAAAGTCCTTTGGTCTCCCTGGGAAAATGACTAGCTCCCCACAGTTGGAAAGGGCCAGGTGGGTGTCAGTGTTTTCAGCATGCAGAGCCATACAAGAGCAGGGCAGCCTTTCCAGGAGGCGCAGGGGAAGAATGTGTGAGTGGAGCGTTTTGCTCCTTCGAGACTGTCCTGCAAGTGCCAATTCTGTGGAGAGCAGTCTCAAGCTCTCAGAATTCAGAGAGAATTCTGTACAATACAGAATTCAGGTGTGTTGTACACATGAGCCTTTTGTGAATAATCTCACAGAGGATTAGCTCTGCCCAGCCTGTAGATGACCTGGGTGGAAGTTTTATGGTGAGCACTGAAGCTCTAACAGATCTAAGAATAAAACAGTGGAGGGAGGATGGGTGGAAGATGGTACAGTGTGTATGAATTTTATATGCTTCCTCAAATAATCAGCTGAAAAGCAGGAAGAGGAGGAGAGGAGAAAATAGAAGGAGCTCATTGGTTGCTACATGGGTGGAAAGGCTGTCAGAGACTTTACTGAAAGCTGACGAGCTCAATAGTAGCTGTCTAAGCAAGGAGAGTAGGATGAAGGCAGGCTCCTGGGACACTGGGAAAATGGTAGTGACCAGAAAATATACACCTCACCAAAAAATAAATTTGGTTTTAAAAATTAGACAACAGTCTATCAATTCATATGGCTAAAGATGCATAGTACGCAGGCTTTTTCACACAGAAAATTGGATCAGAAAGGCTAAAGGGTTAAGGAAAGATACATCAAGCAAATACAAATAAAAAGGAAGCAGGAGTTGCAGCCTTGGTATTTAACAAGAATACCAGTATAGAATCGAGAAAGCATTTTAGAATGAGGAGGAGAAAGATGCTATAAGATAATAAAGTCCGTCATAGGAAACTTTAACATCCACCTGCAGTGCCTAGTGGGTCAGGTGGACAGAAAGGTAGGAGAGGTATAGAAGAGAGAGCTCAGAACATGAGCAGTGAAATATATCATTTTAAATTTTTATTGAACTTTGTTCCCCAGTAATTTTTATTTCAGCATATATAGGGTGTCACCAAAAGTTGAACATACGTTTGTTTGTAAAGAAATTTTTAGTTCTGTAACATAGAACTCATACAGACAATATTCTCTGATCACAGTGCAATAAAATTAGTAAGCAGTAACAAAATCAGTGAATGAAACGACTTTCTGCCTGCAAATGTAAATACTATATATTAATTAATTTTTGTATCCAAGGAGAAATATGAACTGAAATTGGAGAATTTCTAAAAAATATTGGTAATGGAGACACTGCATATCAAAATCTGAATCTGGTGGATACGTGTAGAAATAGGAAAATTTATAATCTTTATATAGAGAGAGAGCAATAAAAATAAAAGAATGAAAATTGATGAATTAAGTATATGAAAAAGTGAACAAAAAGTGTGCAGAGGGAAGAACATATAAAGGTTTCTGTTAAGGTCACATAACTACAAAACCATTCTGTTAGGGTGGGGATTTCAGAGGCCAGGTAATAAATGGAGGTAAGTTTTAAAAAAAATATTATGTGTTAAGTGATATAATGTTGATTCAGAGTAACCTGTGATAAGTAAAGGTTGCATACAGTAATTCTCAGAGCAACCGCTAAAAAAAGAAAGAGGTCAATAGAGGTGATGAAGTTAGATGCTAAAGTGGGATCAACTGGTTTCTTTCCCCTGAAAAAAGATAGGTGCAGGAAACGAAATACCAGGTGTGACAAGTAGAAAACAAAGAGCAAGACGGTTGACTCAGTAATTAAACATCTCTGCAGTTTAAATGCACAGACTGTCAGACTGGAGAAAAACATAGTACCCCCAGATTGATAGAACTAATAGGCAACATAAAATCTACAAGAATGGATTTTTTCCGTCTAATCTATAGAATACGGACATGTAGTTTATTAAAACTATAGAATATTAAAATAACATTAGGAAGGCACTTTAGCATATTGACAGATATTATTAAATGCAACAGCTACATAATACACATTTTTCAAAATCTCATGGAACAATCCCAACTATAGTTGAATAGAATACAAGTCTTAGTATATTTTTTTAAAATTGTAATTATATATATACACACACACACTAATTACAATATGGAATTAGAAATAAATAAAAAGTCTTCAGAGCCAGACTCCGTCTCAAAAAAAAAAAAAAAAAAAAGTCTTAAAAATCCT